CTGTCAAAACAATGCCAAAGCTTTGCTTGTTCCAGCTTTTCAACTGTGAGGACTTCATATTTCATATTGACTTTGTCTTCATAAATGCTCCAAAATGATGGAATTATGTTATGGTACTGCTTTATGACATTAACACAAATCAAACAATAATGGAAGAATCAAATATCAAGGACAAATACACAATATTATATACGGCAACAATATTAATAACAAAGTACAGCTGTGACAGTTACTGCAGTAGTGCAGCTGCACACATGGCCCCACCATGCAGGTAAACAAGTACAGTACTGGGACGAAGACAAAAGAGCATAAAGTCTCACGTCTGTCTATTACAAGTGGCATATGAAGCAGCTATTATCGACACATGTCACGGTTTCTGTTTTGCAATAACGTGTTAATAAAGTTTTAAACTGTCACTTTTAAACCCGTAAACATGGAAGAAAAGGCGAAACCAGGAAATCAGGAGGAAGCAAGCCTGCAGTTATAAAGGAATCTGTAGTCGCTACTTTTTCTTTAAATTATAATTATATAGCTTACTTTGACAGATAGTTGGAGATTAGTCATAGTTTAGCTTGACAGTTTTGAGCAGAGACAGCTTTAAAGTGGTGAATTTGTGTTTAAAATGCGATGGCTGCTATCGAGTATGAGCCTGTCGTGTCAGTGATTATGGCCTACATAGCACTGCTCGTAGCTACCTTACGGGAAGCCCGCTCTTTACATAATTTTAAGGACCAAAATGCCGTGCTGCTGTTTTAAAATTAGCTACACAGAACATATTCCTTAGTCTGACAATAAGCGTCACAGCAGCGCACTTTTTTTTACTGCGTAGTTAACCTAAAGTTTATGTACAGCACGCTGTCATTTTGCTAACTGGAAAGTGAAACTAGCGGCTACAGCTGCCATGTTCAGTCACTGAAGCTATTGTTAGTCGCAAAAGCTATTTATGCTAGCGACAGAATAAACTGTTATGTTTTCACACAGCTTTTAGCTCTGCTTACCTGTTCTACGACAACATTTGCTCTCAAAGCTAGAAGAGTTGAACTGTGGACTCCGAAGACTTCCTTGTTGTGCTGCTTGTTGAACGTCGGGTGGCGTCATCAGCTCAACGTGTTAAAGGGCCAACGCAACTTTGTGAGAGTTGACAGCATACTTCGGGCAGTTTTAAAGGAATAGTATGGAGTTTGTTATACATTCGTTTGGTTTTCTTTGTTCTTTTTAAGAAGATTTGTAGTGCAGCAAAAATCAGATAAGGGCATCATTGCAAATGTTAACTTTGATTACTCAAACATCATGTAGGAGTATGTCATGGATAATATGTACTAATTTGTAAATAAAGGGACATCATTAACTATTAATAAAGACAAATATTAGTGCAGTACTCCAGTATATTTATAACTAACTGTGCAGCTCATTCTTTTTCTCTTGACAATACTCTTTAAATACTCTTTAAATATGAAACACATTTTGGGGCCAACTTAAAAGAAAGGCAGATGTAAAATGTAAAAGTGAGGTCAGAGGTCAAATGTGACATTATATTTGGATGCAAGCTATAATGTGATATTTAGAATCTCCATATACCAATCATTTCCTAAATGTTGCCAATACAAACAGTCTATAGACAGATAAGTTACTGCTTTTTAATCCATATGTATCCTTCTGTATACAACTTAATTGATGGACCTCTAGAGTTTCTATAGTTCATTTCTGTGCATGTGTGGATTGGATGGGTTGTTACGTCTGTGAAGGTTCTCAGTCATCCAGGTCATGGTAATCTAAGGAGCTTGGAAAGAAAAGT